ACATGTGAGTTCCTTATACAACTTGTTTTGTCTTCTGATAACTTTTTCATAGCCTCGAGTTGTGCAATGTTAAATTCCGGAAGTTGATGAGCAGAGATGCAAGAGCGGAAACGATGGAGCGTGATATTGACCGTGCCTCGAGGTAACTCTGCATTCGATGGTCTGGACCTGCTTAACAATAATCACGATAGAGAGAAAGATGAGGAGCTCGCCGGCGCAGAGGTAGAGGCTGCCGCTGCTAACAAAGAGCTCCAGCAAGCAGAGACAACATTATCGCACGCAAAATTTGAGATGAAGAGCAAGCGGGACGAATTGAAAAGTAAGTACTCGCGCCTATTCAATGATGTCTTGAACTAATCACGCCGCAGAGCTAGAGAAGAAACTCAAGGATGAGATTGAAGGGGGGGTTTCTTTCGAGACCGCCCTCTCGTACGCGGAGAGGGAGCTCGAGATGCGCAAGAAGTATGTGTTTCCGCGGATTCTTTTCGATTGGTTGCTGATTCCCACTACAGTGAGAGCAAAGCGGGCATGAGTCAAGTGTATGACCAAATTCTGAAAGTAGGACAGGCGAAGAAACGTTGTACTGCCTGCAACCGTGATCTACACGACAATGAAATGGCTGGTTTTGAGAAATACGTATGTGTCATCCGAGCTCTTTTCGAGCCATAATTTAACAATTACACATACAGCTCAAGGAGCAAATTAAGAACCATTCTCCCGAGGCTGTCGAGGCTCAAAAGGCCGAAGTTGCAGAGTGGGAAGATGAAGTGAAGGACCTCCGCGCTCTTATGCCTGTATTTACAACCAAGGAGCGCATCAGGACGGTCGAGCTTCCAGCACTGGAGAGGCAAATCAAGGTCTTAGATGAAGATCTTCCGTCTATTAGCGAGAAGGCAGAGCAGGCAAGATACCCTTGTGACTTCTTGAAACTTGAAACTTCACTTGTATACAGGCTGCCCAGAGGCTAACCGATCTCAAGAAGGACATTAGAGATGTTACCTCCTTGAAGCAATCCGCCTCTACCGTGTCACGTAACCAGAATGAGACCGAGCGACTCAAGAGCGACATCAAAAACTTGGAAACGGAGCTTGCCGCTACTGGTACCGCCAAGACTGGTGATGATGTACAGAGGGAACTGGATGTCCTTTCTAATGAGATGTACGTTGTCTACCTCCCCTGGCAAACAACTCTCTAGCTAACTTGTTCACAGCCGTTCAAATGAGAGGGAAAGGCAAGCACTCATGACAGAGCGTGACCACCAGAATCAATTGTTGCGGACGAATGAAAATGACCTGCATGTGATGGAAAAGAAGGAGAACACGCTTTCCAATCAGATCCGTGACAAGGATACCATGGAGGAACGTATCGTCACAATGACCAACGAGATCGCGACCTTGCACTTGAAACTCAAGGTTTGTTCTTGAGTGTCTAGACTACTAGAGGCTGAAGACTGCTTGTGCCTCTTGTGAATCCAGGAACTAGACTCCAAGATTTCGGAGGCGCAAGCTCCTATTGATATGCTTGAGCAAGAGCATCAGCAGGCCATGGTCGACCTTGATGCAAGGATTCGCGAGGCTCAACGTTCCGTACAAGAGCTCAACACGAACGTTGACAAACTTGACAGCCTCAATAAAATCGTTGAGCGGTATGCTATCGTACATGTGTTGTAAGACTCCAATTGACATCTGCCAGATATATTCGTGACAAGCGGGCCCGTCTCCTTGTTGAGTGCGCCGACAAGATAGAACAATTCGAGCAGGATATCAAGGATATTGTCACCAATATCGAGAACATCCGGGATGCCATAGCTAAAATTGACCGGGAGATCAGCGAGAGCGGGAGTTTGATGGCGAATTTGCACGGGAACATTCGCATCAGAAAGCTTTCCCGCGATATAGCAGGTACACAAGCTGAAATTGACTCGTGCGATATGGAGGAGCTGCAAAGGCGAAGCGGAACTTCGAAGATCGTTACCAGGTTGAGAAGCAGAGGGAAACGGAAATGCAGAGCAAGGTAAGAGCTCGCTCGCTTTCGCACCTTAGTCCACATCATCTCATGTTCTGCAGTATGCCCATATAGGAGGCGAAATCAGTTCCCACCAAGAGCAACTCAAGATGACAGAGAAGGATCTACGTGACTTTAAGGAGATCAACAAGCGGTATACCGACCAGTTGGTCAAGGTCAAGGTCTGAATCTGGTTCAATTGTAAAATCGAGTAATTTGACACCTGCTTAGATGTCCGACATGGCAAATAATGATCTGGAGAAATATGCCAAGGCCCTGGACAAGTAAGCTATACATCCCTGGCCCTATGGTCCTATATCTGATGTCTCTAGTGCCATTATGAAATACCACGGTCTAAAGATGGAGGAAGTTAACGATACAATGCGTCATCTCTGGAATAAAACGTATCAAGGGACCGGTGCGTACCCTTAGATCTTGTCGTGGTTAAGTGCTAATTGCTGTTAGATATCGATGGTATCAAAATCCGCTCCGACGTTGAGGGCGGCGCATCAAAACGATCCTATAATTACCGAGTGAGTGCTTCCTACCACGGTAAATACTGTCATGTTGACATCCTTTCAACAGGTTGTTATGACCAAAGATCAAGTCGAGATGGACATGCGTGGACGATGCTCCGCAGGTCAGAAGATGCTGGCCTCGATTATCATCCGTCTCGCTCTCTCTGATTCTTTCGGTCAAAACTGTGGCATTCTTGCGCTGGATGAACCAACAAACGCTCTTGATGTGGAGAACATCGATGCACTGGCTGAGAGCCTTGTCGAGTAAGTGATCACCGGCGGCCTTTTTCAACGAGAAGTGCTAATCTTTTTGAAGCATCATTAACGAGAGGAAGAATCATTCCAACTTCCAGTTGATCATCATCACACACGACGAGAATTTCCTTCGCAAGCTTGGTCAAGCTGAAGTGATGGAGTATTATTGGTAAGGTTGTATCTCTGCTTTCTTCACTCTGTTTATTTATATGCGTCAGGCGTGTTTCACGAGATTCGAGACAGAAGTCTGTAATTGAACGCCAAAGGTTCCGATGAACTTGTCGATTCAATATCTTGGCTCATCCTAATTGCGTTGCTCGCTATATTGTCACACTGTACAATACCATCATCAAGTCATTGTTATCCTACAATCTGACTCTCTACAACACCATGAAATGTTTATATATTTCGTGCAACATTCAGGCTGGTTGATCATCACTTGTGTGTCCACTGGGCTACGCGCTTGGGTTTGGCGAGGAAAGCTTGGAACCCTTCTGCATGATCCTCCAGTCCGAAGGTCGCGTGGTAAAGTCTGCTTTCGAAATGTAACCCATTCTTCAGCCCCAGCTCTTCAGCTGTCGATGTTGTTGTTCAATAATGCATAGTACGCTGTGAAAGGTACTTCACTGACCTTCATTGACCGCCTCCTTTGCCATTGCCACGATGGGCGCAGAGAAGCTCGCTATCTTGCTCGCTAGACGATTGTTGCAAGTCACCCTTCAGGGATTTAAACACTCTGCGTACCTGTCTTCAATGCTGCACTAAAGACCTGCTCTGCAGGGAGGACCTTAGCCACAAGCCCTGCTGCTTCGGCTTCCTTTGCACTAATCATCTCCCCCGTCAATATCATGTGCATTGCCTGACAAAGCAACCATCAGTGATGCCGTAGGTCTCTGATCTTGCGTCAACTACTTTCGATTTCCCGATAGCCCTGATTAAGCGCTGTGTCCCTCCAGCTCCTGGGATGGTTCCCAGTGTGATTTCTGGCTGCCCGAACGTTGCAGTCTCTGCTGCATACAAAATATCACACATCATTGCCAGCTCACAGCCACCTCCCAGCTGGGTGCCTCTGTCAGTCAAGGTAAACATCGAGTGATCGACTCACTGCGATGCCATTGATGACTCCGATTATTGGCTTATGGACGGCAAAAAATCCGTCATTTAGATTCTTCAGATAGTCTTGATTATATGCATTGACAAAGGACAGTTCACTTTGCTCCTTGATATCCGCACCAGCTGCGAGGTGATCAGATTGATCTGCGTAGAAAGGGTTCGGAGCTGACCACAGAATCCTTTTTCGTTGCCTGTCAGGATAATAGCGCCTACGCCGGGATCGCTCTCGAACGACCTCAAAGCATCCAACAATTCGTTGATCAATGTTCCAGACAGTGCGTTATAAGCCCTAGGTCGATTGAGCTTGATAATCCCCACCCTTTCGGAGTGTTCAATGATAATCGTTGACTCTGACATACCGTTGGTAAGTCTTGTGATCATCCACTTCCGATTCCTTCGAGCTTGAACATTTGAAATGAAAAGTTATTATTGGCACGAGAATCACGCGCTCTGCACACGGCGCCGTGACTCTGTGACGTCCACGGAGTGAACCGACTGACTGACCACTGTCTTCCTTCTACCGGGTCTGCCTACCTGATAAGTCTCAGTTACGTCTCGTCCATGTACAAGCAGGTGGTTGAATATTGAATGTAGGTACATGTTACATATCTTACATGGCACGTGCACAAAAAGCTAAAAAGTTGCGAAGGGTCGAAAAAGGGTTGTCGGATATTTGACAGATTGACCAGGTAGTGTGGGCCCAGGAAAGAAGCAAGACACATTCATTCACCAGAAAACATGACATACTCCTGTTCGGAAATCATCCACAAGTTCTGATCAATGCACGATCGAAGCAGATGTTATTATCACTAGGCGATATCGGTGCATCCTTCGCGTACATATCTATCTTACATACACATTCACCTTATCATACACGTTCCATCCACATTACGTTTCGTTCTCCGTTCTAACGATTCTAGTATGTCAGAAACTAAAGGAAAGAAACATTACCCCACAAAATCAAGTCCAACTGGACTGCTACTTACTAAACCGTTCTGCACCCTATCCTGATTCCTCTCCTCAATCGTGTCACTGTCAGCACTCTTTCGCGTTCTTACTAGTATATCCAGCGTGTGTAGTCAGTCGGACGTGGCTTGGTGTGAGCAGTCCACGACTCCGTGATCTGTGGTCTACTCATTGTCTTCTGCGGAGATTGTGACTGGGGGCTACTGCCAGGGGTGATCAACCGTACGATTATTTTCCGAAAGGCTCGTGTGGTGTTTCTGGAACGCATCGATTTCACCGTCACTAGTGACTGTTGCACTACAGTCGTTGCCTTCCAATAGTTAGTCCTGATGCCCTCGTCATTGGACGAGCTTCCAGTCCATGTTCGTCTGGAGGCACACGCTAGCGCTCGCGACAAAGCAATTGCTGCAAGCGACATCAGTCCAGGTTCGGTTGTTCTGGAAGTGCCATCCATGGTGGTTTTGTTGCTCTCGTCGGGCAAAGGTCGCCGATGTGATTTTTGTCTCTGCTCAGAATCATCTGAAATCAGGCTGGCCAGGTGTACTGGCTGTGCTTCATACTGGTATTGCGGTCCACAGTGTGCGTACCCTCTGTCGATGACATATGACAATAGCCTTGAAAATCCTCTCAGGCCAAACCTTGCACTGGCGATCGCACAAAAAGTTTTGCAGGAGACTCGCTTCCTTCACAGCATCAGCCGATTTTCAATGTCTGGAACCGCACGAGCAACTAGATGCCTTGCTTCACACCCATCTTATAGCGGAAATTTCGTCTAATGCGTCTTCTGATGTCAGAGCAAAGCAACTATCCACTTTCATGTCTCTGCTGCCTGGACCGCAGTATGGCCCCGTCCCAATTGCTTGCCCCATGTCTTTGGGCGTTGATGTGCACCAAAACCTTGAAGATTTGTTTACGCGTTCTGGGAACAACAATTTTGCAATCCACAGTCATCTTACTACTATCGCTCATGGCATATTCCCTCTTGCGAGTCGCCTTTTCAATCACTCGTGCCTTCCAAATGCCGCTGCAAGATACGTGATCCGCAGAGGCCAGTCAGTGCGAATGGAAATTGTGGCTTTGCGAAAGATCAAGGCCACAGAGGAGGTACTTCGTTCACTTATGTCAGATGGTTATTATAGATTCAAACTGTTCTCGTCTTGCAGATATTTATTCCATATGTGGACCCTGCTCTGATAGAATCTCGTCGACAGATCTTCAAGCTCACCTACGGCTTCTCCTGTACTTGCCCGTCATGCAATTTTATCAGCACGCTTGGCTCCATTCCTTCGTTGCCTGTCTCGGAGGCTGCACTTGCAAAATTGGACAATACTCTGCAATCATTTTATTTTCCTTCTGGAGACATTGACAATCACACACTACTTGTGGGCTTAACTCTTCCAGACCTTCCAAAAAATCTCCACCCTGTACTCCGCGAATCGTATCTATTGCGGCTCACGGATGCCTTTAGCAGATCTTCTCACGAGGGTTCTTATCATATCGCTCTTGATGTTGGGCTAACTGTACTTGCCGTGTATCTTTTAATATACCCAGAAAACTATCCACAGATCGGTAGGGAATTTTTCCATCATGAAAATCCTATCTCGACTGATGCTGTCAAAAGGTATGCATCTGCTGGAGATGGCAAAGACAGCGTGGAATGCTGTGATCGCAACTGAACATGACAATGCACACAATGCTCTTGCTAAGACATCCTTACTTAAGCGGGCTCGAGTCTACCGCAATCTTGCTAGCAACATATTGGAGTTGTTCGGTCCGGAAGGCGATCCAGCGGGCCCTCTAGAAGAGCTTGCGGTTTTGAAAAAACTACTTCACGAGGAACTGTAAGTTGTCGTAATGTCAATCTTTTGAAATTCTCTGACGGACCAATTTCAGGTGACAATCACCGCAGGCACGATGATCAGTGATGCACCCTAGTGCTTGCAATTAAGGCGGTGATGAGTTCTAGAACAGTCGAGAACGGATCGTTGCTACGGCAAGAACCATTCGCAAGCATGCTCGTTCATTAGCGAACCGTGACAATATACAGCTGGATAAGCCTGTCTCACTCGATCAACACCTTCTCGTAGAAATTCATATAGAGCACTGCGTATGCTGGTATATAATGCATGTTGCATACAGGACGTAAGATTTTGAAAGATTATTGATGGAGGAAGCACTTCGACTGCCAAGAGAAATCACACGCATACGAACTTAAATGTTCGGGAGTCGGCTGCATACATAGTACAAGCTCGACGAGCTCTCGATAAGCAGTTTGAACTTTTAGATTGTCTGCCTCTCAATTACACATCCGGATTCGACAGGATGGGGGCCTGGACCATATGCAAGGGGTCCACCGAGATTTTCACAAGTCACCTATGTACCATGTCATTGTCAAGCCTGTAAATACTACTGTACTACTAGATGTCCAGTGTCCACTAGAGTTCGCGCATTTTTGGTGCAACGTCTATTATTCCACAACATACAAACATAAAAATTTAATTCTTCGACAGTTCAATAGCCTGATATCGAAAGTACAACATCTGCTATTTTTTTTTTTTGAAAATCGACGTGATGTGGTGATCTGACTTTTAGAGCGAGCATTCTATGCACAAAACTGGTCTCCAGCACCAATAAGTTGGCCATGGGGTGAGATCTACTTCTATTTTCTTCAAACAAAAATGTGTTGGGTTATGTTTTGTTGTATATATGGCACTGTGTTATGTTGGGGGGAACTTGAATGCAACATACATAAGGAATCCGTGCAGAATTGCGTGTGCTAGAGTCGATGCGCGAACTCTTGGGGACACGGACTCGTGGGACTATCTAGTACCATGTCGCATTACTTATCCCAAGCCGCGCTTCCTTATTCCGAATTCTTATTGAACCTGAAGGAACTGCCAATTTCAACCTGAATCAAGTCAGTGATTCCAATATTCTGGAACGTAACGTTTTCACACATGTGGGTGGAACAAGGCAGTCTAAGCCGTATAAAGCCCATACGACATCAAAGTTTGAATTTGCTTACGGGATCATGCGAGCCTACCGACAGAAACTTCTTCTCCGGGACTAGTGGTTTTTAAACTTCAAAGTCACTGCCTGAAGTGCTGTCTGCTTCTGAATCCTGGGGGATTTTCCGATGGGCTCTTGCTAGTGAATCCCATCAGACGCATCGTGGACCAAGTCACAGTCCGTCATCTAATACGTCGCACAGGCCTTTATGGGGGGTACAAGCCCCATTGGTCGATCCCGTGGTAATGCTGTTCATCTGCATACCGGCACTGGCGGAATCGTTCCTTTACAGAATGTAACAGTCCTTATATTTGCTCTCATTTTTTCCTTGCTTTTTATTATCGCTTTGTCGTGTGCATTCCTCGGTGCCGATGAGGAAGACGATCCCCCTTTCAAGAGCATGCTGAACGACATCGCAACGAATGATCCAGGCGTAGGCGTTTCATACATCTTTGATACTTTTTTTTGTTGAACTCGTGTGCAGGTTGTCCTGTTGGGTGAAAATGTTGATGTTGACATTGACGAGCCCTCCGTCACCGTCTCGTGGTCCCTCGTTGCATGTGGAGACAGTTTTGAACTCGACGGAAGCTCTGGTATCCATGAGAGTCAATGTGGGTTGCCCTCGATGGCCCTTTGGATTTATGCCGATAAGTAGGTGGCTATCCTGAGCTTTATGAATTTGCGACTGATGATGTGCACCTGTAGCTCTCCTGAACCTGCAACTATATATGATCCTGCTACAATTCCATACGTTCGTAACACGGGTCAGAGGCGCAGGTAAGTCCAGGGGATGCTTTGAGATTGATCAATGGTAATGATTATATACGCCAGAATCGAGAACCTCGTTCGATTCGACAGCGATTATACGATTGATGTTCATAAGGCTCGCTTGTACCCATTTGATACATATTTTCTCGCCAGCACTCTGCGGGCTGTCAATGCTTCAAACACGACGGTCCCCATTCGGAAACTCTCCACAATCGAACAAGTGACCAGTTTTCTTGTCGCAATTAGCGACGTTGAAAGTTACGAGATAATCAATGGGACTCAAGTTCCCACTCGCGACTTTGATTTATATGTGACAAGGCCTGGACAATTACGATTCTATACTTTGTTACTTTTTGGCGTCAATTGGATGCTGTCTCACGTCACCGTTGGACATGTTATATTGGCACGCAGACTGGTCGATATCAGGTCCATGACCAAGCATCTGGTGTCTGCCTTTGCTATCCTTCTCATTATCCCGCAGCTGAGGAATTCAATGCCAGATTCTCCGGATTTGGATGACGGTGAGCTTATCTCAACGGACTGGGTCGAATAATTGCTTATCCATTCACGCAGGTGCTCTCATTGGTATGTATTCTTCGACTTCTCAGCTTCTAAGATACAAAGATTAACGCTTTCTTTGACAGACTACATTGGTTTCATCCCACAGATGATTATTTCCGCTTCATGTGTCCTTACCATATTATTCCTCATAATGCTACGCGAGTACGACGAAATGGAGGGCAAACAGACTCCCCGCCAGAGTACGAGGCGGCCATCGCCGACTCCACTCCCGCGACCGCCACTACCGCGCACTCCCAAGGCGTCTTCTAACCCCCCCGCACCTCCTATTCCACCACCACGGAAATCACCACTAAGACCCCTCCTCCTCGGGGCCAAAGTACGCACCCGGTCGATCGCCATGGAACGTGGGGAGGCAACCTGCTTGAAGGATGAGCTCAACACAGGTTTCGTTTTTCCTCCAATATCGCATGCAAACTGGTATGATTCATCACCGCTCTCGTTCTTCGCGGTCCCGCATAGGCACAATGGGGCTAGGAGGACCGTCTCGGAAGTGCTTCAGGGTCCAAGTCGTCCAGGTCAAATACACTTAAGTCTCTTAAGGAATGACGGCTGGAACCTATCCCTGTGAGTGGTGACTATATGCCTTGTTACCCCCATTCTTGTTTTCTGAATCATCGTGTGTAGTGCTTCGATTGGACATCTTGGTAGTGTACTTGATGCAATTGGGATATGTAACCGTATGTAGTACAAGGTGTTGTACAGTGACATTGACACAGTCGCAGCCTTCTACTCGGATCATTTCGTGACCGTCGGGTGTTGCTTTAATATAAATAATATTATGAGTGCGACCGGCGTTCTGTGTTACGTTCTTGAAACGTTCTTCTCGTGGAGCCCCAATGCTGTGAAACATCGTGCAATAAGATGTTTTTTGCAACTTGAATTTCAAGGCATGTAAGAGAAGTCGAATAATGATTTCACAGCAATAATTAAATGATAATTCCACATGTGATGTAGACAAACCTTGGCTACGCGTCCGCCTGTATACAATAATCAGAAAATCTGAGCGAACTAGTGGGTAGAAGTAAGTCGTATGATGTTTTGATCATCCATGATACACTCAGCGACTGGCCAAGTTGTGGTAAGTCCAAATTTGAAATGCAACTTGGCCACGTGGATCTTTCATTACTACTCCCTTCTCACTCTCTCTTCACTATACAAACCTTCGTTTCGCAGGTTTCGACAATTTCTCGAGATCTAGTCGGCAACTTGAGGAATGCCTGTCGGAATTGAAGCTTGGTTGACCCAGATTCCACCAATAACGCGTGCTTGGCTAGCGCTATCTGTGGCTACGAGTTTAGCAGTGGTATGAGGGCGAATGTTCACTTCACCGTGACGAAGCTGACGTGTTCTTAAGCAATGTCAGCTCGTGACACCTCTGCAACTGTATTTTAGTTTTAAATCTGCTTTTACCAATGTGCAAGTGAGTTGTGTCTTGACCTGGAGCAATGTCTTGTGTGGATGCTGATAGAGAGTACAGCCGTGGCGCATGGCCACGACATTCTTTTACTTTGGATCGATATCTCTCGACTTTGTATTCCATCTTTTCTTTTTGTGAGCTCTGCTATTGATTTCTATCGATTAAAATTTTGACTTTTATGAATTCTAGCATGCGATATAGTCGGATGTTAGAAGAATCCTCGTTTGCCAATAGAAAAGCCGATTACTTTTGGTTGCTTCTGCTGTCATCCGTGATGCTATTGGTAAGTTGTATCAACTTCCTGTCACCTGCATCTTAACCTTCGCGATACAGGTCATGTCGCCCTTATTCAACCTCCCATTTCTCTCCTCCTCGCTCGCCTTCGTGCCCATATATATGTGGTCCCGTCGGCATCCATCCACGCCAATATCGCTCTTTGGATTGTTCACAATCTCAGCGCCGTACTTGCCACTAGCCCTTGTAATTTTCTCCTGGGTAATAAGTGGAACATGGAAGGCGGCGGCAGGAGATCTAATTGGGTGTGCGGTTGGTCACATTGGATGGTTCCTGCGGGATGTCTGGCCAAGAGAGATGGTTGGAGGGTACTCACTCCTGACTGAGGCACCTGATGGGCTGTAAGTGTTTCCTGGTGGATAAAATGGGTCATGCTTATACTGTTACAGGAGGAGACTATTCGGAGACCTCTGAGTCGATCTTCAGTGTACTTGGCATCCTTTATTCCTTCCTGGGGCAGAGAGAGCGGCATTGCTACTGATACATTATTATGAATTCATTGGTTCTATGTTTGATGAATCGATATCCTTACGTGCTGCAGTCGGGTCCGTGATAGCGCCTTAAGTCTGTTATCTAAACTCATGTGTCATACGTGTCATTGTGCATCATTAGCCTTGGCTGTGTCAAAACACTTTCCGTTGTTGTGAACGAATCTCACCATTTTGTATTGTCTTGCCTTGACCTCAGGAAGACTCAGTGAATGTTATGAGTGTCCGAGGTCTGCACGGGAGCAATACGACCATGACATGTGTTGTCTTGGGGAAAGGGCTCTCATTCCACACACAACAGAATTCAATTTTGTCATTATAGTTGACGGTGAGCTCAGGGCTGTCCTTGCTTATATTTCCTTTCTTTCTGGCCTGTTGCTTTTCCACTGCTCTTGTCACTGTTTCTTGTGGTTATTTCAAGTCATACCTAGTCTGTCCAAGTTGCTGTAAGGGAATATACCCGGATGTCTAGTGTGTCCTCACAATCCCCATCCCCTGCCAATCCAATCGAGTTCTACGAGCCTCTTCACGAACGTGATGGACTTCCTCAGTCCTCGAATGGAATGCATTCAGTTGCATCGCCCTCAGCCAAGTTGACGCGAACTGTCGCGATAATCAAGACAAACGCATTAGAGCAGCGTCTAGACATCGAACACCGTCTTCTGGAGGCAAATTTCGAGGTATGTGCACCAAGTCTCATGAATTTATATGCTTCGCCCTTGTATCGCACATCAGTCTTTGTCTTTCGAATATAACACGTGAAATACGTCCAGAGTCACGTTCAAGAATCTCTAGACTTCTCGATTTGAGATGCAATAATTGATTCACCATGCCTTATAGATAGTCAAAGAACGCCAAATGGAGTTTGATACGGAGACAAATCCCGACACATTCTTCGAGCTTTTCGGCGATGATGCTCGGTTCCTTGACTGAGTGAGTATCTCGATGACTATTTAGTAACAGCATTATTCATCCCCAAACCCTTTCTGTTGTATCTCCCACCACTGATCCCTATTCAGCGGTCCAGTCTGGGTCTATATTCTTGAGCGCAGACGCGCTGTCCAAGTTCTCCTCACACTAATGCCTTCACTTAATGATGCAATAATAGGCGCAAAGCACGAAGAGCAAGCAGAAATACAAATAGCGTCTATATTTGCCTCCAGCCCACCCTTTCCCGTCAGTGATCTCCCTGCAGCCGATGGAGAGCTAGGTTCAGATGACGAATTCGACCCCTGGTTCTGTGCGCTCGATCGACTCTGCGATCCTGGAAGCTCTCAAGCTAGGTTTAAGTGCCCCTTCAGGCGTACTTACACCATCCTCTATGTCTTCAGATGCGCGTGCACCACAATTTTCAGCACGCCCGAGCCTCAGTTCCAATGGATCACCCAGCGGAAAGCAACCATTTCGTGCACGACCACTTCCAAAAACGCATCTTACTCCTGATATTTCTCCACGCACAACAAAAGCCGCCCTTCTTCGCCAAGGGCTGGCTACAGACGGATCCAAAGCGTCCCCACTCAAATCACGAATGTCTACAGCTAGTACTGGCCGCATCCCACTTCTTCGTAGGGAGAAAGAGAACGCAGCGGAGAAAGAGATAGAGAAAGAAAGGATCAAGAGGACGTTTGCAGGCGTTCCAGGCCACAAGCGCTCTGAGACGCTTGCCGTTGCGTCTACTGCTCCACCCACCATTACCCCGAGGTTGACCAAGGCAGCCGCCCTGCGGTTGGGCCTGGCCCAGCCCACTTTACCTCCTGGGCGGAGGCGTGCATCGATAGCTGGCTCGGTCATAAATGGAAAGGCAGCAGTCAGCACCAATGGACCTGCTGTCTCCTCGCCGAAATCTTGTTTACCTAACGATGCCGAGGGAGAAGGCGAAGATACGGAGACTGAGCGGGGGTGCGAACGCAAAAATATCTTTGACGGTGTTCCTGGGCACAAGCGTCGCCAATCGATATCCGTCGCAAGTACAACTGAAGCTCCGTCTATAGTTCCCAGAACCAACAGGACTGCAGCTCTCAGAAAGCAGGGCGGACCTCCCCCGAGCAGCTTCATGTGTAAGTCCTCAGCGACAGCTGTTTTATCTTCACTTCTCTTCACACAATAGGATATTTTACGGTCGTTCGATTTTTTTAAAGTTCGTCACTGACGCAATGAACACTTTCAGTTCGCACTCCGTCCGCTCCCAAGGTGCCTGGCAGTGCTGGCACTCAGTCGAGAAGCAGCTCTTCTCTCAGCGCTTATCTTGACAGCGCCGGAACAGACTCTGCTACTCGGACCCGTTCAAGTTCCACGGTGCCGTCTCAGGCATCTTCCCGTGTCTCCCATATCGCTCCGAGGGCAAGTTTAAACAACACCAGTAGCTACTCCTCTCAAACTTCTGAGAGTTCTGCGGTGAGCACTACGAGCACTGCTAGCGTGGATGAGCTCGACAAAGCCGCATCACCTCAACGATCGGTGCGCCGCCTGAGCAGCCTCCAGGCTCCCTCTATCGCTCCCCGCGCCAACAAGAGCGCCATTCTCAGGGCTCAAAAGATGGCGGCAGAAGCGGCCAAACCAAAGAGCCCTTGGGCCAATGCTTCTAAGCGGTAGGGATGATGTACATTGCTCTACTAAGACGTTAGTTAAGGGATTGAACAGCCGGGTGGGACTGGTGTACGAGTGGTGTGTGGTTCTTATTTTATGCTTCATTTACGTGAAGGCCCGCCTTCTGGTCTTGATTTCAGTATATATCTCGTGTGCACTATTTCTCATTTCATACTACCGCGATCCCAGAACATACGCATCTATCCCTCTTTGTATATGTGCCCATTTACAGTATCTTCATTTGCGTCATTCACATATCTATGCTTCTCTTTCTTACCGCTCTTTGATTGTTTCCTTGTTTTTATGGTTTCTGGATTGATTGCATGCTGGTCATGTGGCCCCATATGTCAATATAAATAAACGACGGTGTTTTGATACGACATGGAGCGCTCGATCTCAGATCGCAGAAGTTCTTCTGGCGAGTGGGCTTGGCTTGCAAGCAGGTATGTCATCTTGCTATTGTCCAATTCAACTCAGACTTTATTCTACAGTTTTTTTTGCCTTTCCTTTCCTTGTCCTGTTGTTAATGAAGCAAACCTCAACGCGGTGCCGGCGCAAGCGTGCTACTGTTGCACGATAAGGCATGCATGCTCGAGTCCCTTCTGAACGGGCTGCATAAGTGAGAAATCACAGGCGCAGCTCTTAAGATCTAGGCTCAACGCGTTTGGATAAGATTTGATTTTAGATTTGGTGAGTATATGAATTTAGGTCGACATGCTTATTTTTGCATCCGCAGTATTCATGTCTCATGACATAAGGCAGCTGTTGGCAGTTTCCGTATGCCCAATGATAATTGAGGGCGGCGGCGATCACGCAACATGTGGGTTTTGTCTATACCACAATCATTGGCATAGTTTTAATATGATATTCTCCCCTTGTGCGAATTGATCCTTCTTGACTCTTCGATTTTGTTCCGGCCGGTAACGATTTGCAGAGTTCAAACGCTAGATAAGGTCTATACGTGTTTTGAATGTCCACCTCTAATCATGGTCCCTGCAGTTGAAGGTCGCCTTGCTATCCTCGTTATCTTATCTATTTCATTTGTTGTCGTGACTGCCCTCAGGCGATTCATTAAGAGCAGACAGACCAAACCTTCCCTTCCTCCTGGCCCAGTGCCAATCCCACTGTTAGGGAATATCCTATCTATCAATACCAAAAAACCTTGGTTGACTTATACTCGATGTCATGCTATTTATGGTATGTGGAAAGACAGTTATTACATTTTGTAGTACAGATAGTTCACTCAGGGGACTTGGTGTTCGCGCGGATTTTGGACCAGGATACGGTGGTGATCAATTCACAACATGTTGCACAAGCCTTACTGGAAAAGCGCTCTTGGATTTACTCCGATCGACCATACGTGGCCACAGTCGAGCCGTGTGTCCATGTGTTCAATCACTCTAATGTTCATACAGATGTGGCTGGTCAATCAACTTTGGATTCACAGGGTGTAATGATGAATGGCATCGTTGCCGACGACTCTTCCACCAAACTTTCCGTCCTGATTCTGCACTCAAGTTTCATCCGATGCAGATGAGACGGGCTCGTGAGATGATCGTCAACCTAATTGATGACCCTCAACATTATCATTCCCACTTTGCAACGTCAGCCGATGCGTTTGCAAACATTGAGCGATTATTAACTTATACACAGATTCACGTCATCAATTGGGATGTCTACTATATATGGCTACCAGCCCAGCGCTCGTGATGATCCCCTGGTTCAAATTATGGAAAATGCATTGATTGTCGGCCTTGAGATGATGACCCCAGAGAGAGCAGCCCTGCTCAAGGCCTTCCCCTTCTGTAAGCTCAGCATTCTTTCTCATAGAAAAGTTGGCATTCGGTCCCGTCACGCAGTACTGAAGTTACCTGACTGGTGTTGGGGATCCTCGATTAAACGCGATGCTCGAACTTCGACCAATCGCATGAGGGAAATGTCAGACGTGCCGTTTCGGTATACGCAACAGCATATGGTAGGCCTCTGTTGATTTAGTCCCAGACACTGATTCTATGTATGCAAAGGCCGACAGCTGGTCACTTGAACGATTGTCGATAGTGGCAGAAAATCTGCGACAGATTGAGAAGCAAGATGAGGCATCCAAACCAATGTCGGATACTGCTTTGAAGAAAACCGCTACTACTGCTATGATAGGTTTGTGACCTTTTACGAGGGACAGTAGGCTCTTGACAAATGCATGCAATGTAGGTGCATATGATACAGTCAACAAATGTCCGAACCATATTGTGTGCCGCTCAACATTTTTACAGACTACTTCAACCCTGATGGCTTTTGCTCTCGCTATGGTGTCTTACCCAGATGTTCAACGACGCGCGCAAGCGGAGCTCAACTCAGTGATTGGAAGAGATCGCCTACCTGCATTTGAAGACAGAGCATCACTACCATATGTTGAATCAATTCTGCGGGAGACTTTGCGATAGCAGCCTATTGGACCCCTTGGTAGTTTTCCTCGCTAAGTGATCTTGCCTTCACTAAAGGCGATCTTATAGGCATACTACATGCCACTTCGAGTGATGATATATACGATGACTACTTCATTCCAAAAGGTCTGCTGTTTTCATTCAGTGAATGAATCATTTGTAATATTGTACATCAGGAACGACCGTCATATGCAATATATGGTCAGATAATACGATTCTCAGCTTTCAGGATACTAACGTTACGTTACAGGGGTATTTCACAGGATGAAAGCGGTACTCTGACGCATCTCATTTTATGCCTGAGAGGTTCTTGGACGTTAACGGAGCGTTGACTGATGATGACCCTGCGGGATACGTTTTCGGCTCAGGCCGGCGTGCATGTCAGAGGTTACTTGTTGTCGTATGGCATGTGGTGAGGTGCTCTTTAACCAGGCCGGTACACTGTTGATGCCACTCTGTGGTCCGCTATTGCAACCATGTTGGCCACGGTCGAATTTCCTTTTGCCAAGGATGACCAGATCGACTTCACCCCGCAATTCACGACGGGACTCACTCGGTATTTTATTTCTTTGTGTCATTCTATCCTCCTATCACTAACAGTTTCATCGTTTTAGGTCTTCCCTTGTAATATTTCACCATGCTCTCATATCCATTCAGAACTTGTGGATCTTCTCTGAACTGGATTGTATTATGTATGCAAAGAATCGTCTGTCAGAATGTAGGCTTTAACAAAACGGAATACCCCAGGCTGTAGTGATACCAGTTCAATAATGTGTGTACTGTTTGATAAAAATTGATGCAACTGCTACTTGCGGCTCCGGGTCGTCTTAATTGCCGGACTACCGCGTTGTGGCCGCGAAAACCGTTCATAGTCACGTGGTTTACGTGCGATTGAGAGTGAATCCAATTTCTGCAGCCACCACCATCATAAGACCACCATCATCGGTGTCATCCGCCGCTGTCGTCGTGCAGTATGTTATCCACCACTCGCTCATCAGCTCGCCGGGCATCAGCCCGCCGGCTACAATGCCTTTCTCGCTCATTAACCACTGACTCCACTACTTCTCAAACTGTCCTCACTCCACCGCTTCCCCTCTCAAAGCCAGAGACGAGCAAGCCTCGTCAGTCACGATTACATCCGCGCCCGCGTCCAGCCGTTCCCCATCAACGACAAGCGCTCCCAACTCTTCCTCCAAGCTTCGGGCGGAATCAAGTCCTACCAGTGCCAGACTCCACTCGCGCCCTTCTGGAAGACATCGTAGGATCATTTGAAGCGCCCATTCGATATGCATTTGCATATGGATCTGGCGTTTTTGACCAAGCTGGGTACGAGAAGCAGAGGGATAAGGAAGATAGGCCGATGTTGGACTTCATATTCGCGGTCACACATTCGGATCACTGGCACTCAATAAACATGCAACAGCATCCCGGTCATTATCCCCTGCATGCACGCGTACTAGGGTCGTCGTTTGTCTCCAAAACGCAAGAGTTTAGCCCTGGACTTTGGTTCAATACTTTTGTGCCGATGAAGGGGGTCGTACGTCACTTTCGTTCATACCATTCCACTGTTCGCTTACTTTTACTGTCGTAGAATATCAAGTATGGGGTAACGACCGTCGATACGCTATGCGCTGATCTGCTTAACTGGCGCACACTCTATCTCGCTGGGAGAATGCACAAGCCTCTACGGATCATCAAAGACGACGCACGTGTACGACTGACTCAGCAAGTCAACCTCACCTCTGCGCTTCGCACCGCCCTTCTCATGCTCCCGGAATCATTCACTCAACGCGAGCTATTCTCAGCTATAGCAGGAATAAGTTACTCTGGTGACCCTCGGATGGTGCTCCCAGCTGAGAATCGAGGAAAGGTGGAGAATATGGTTTCTCGTCAGGAAGACCAGTTTCGGGAGTTGTATTGGAGGCTTGCGCAGGGCCTTCCTGGGGTCCGGTGGGCGGCGGGTTCTAAGAGCGTGGAACAGGATACCAGTCCGCATGCGAGAGCAGCGCACCTGAAGAAATTGCCGGAGGAGCTCTTGAAGCACGTTCATCGGCGTGCCGAGGGGCGTGGTCCGCCTAGAGAGGCGGATGAGAGTGCTTATTGGCTTCGTGTCGCAGGCGACAAGGATCTCCCCTCGATTCTTGACTCTGGTATGTCCCTCCGTTCGTATTTTGAGAACTTCATGTTGATGATCCTTACCAGAAATAACCAAGATCGTGCGGTACCCAGCAACTGTCCAGTCACTGAAGGGCTTAGTAAGCGCCGGTGTGGCTAAGAGTGCGCGCTACTCTGTAGCCAAGGTCAGCAAGTGGTGGAAAGGAACCTCTTTTTTGAGTTCGTCATAGTGCGACGCATATCAAGGTGACCCAGTGACTATATGATAGTAATACTACATTTCCCAGCTCCTACTCAACGATATAGACACCCTCCTTTCAAGCGCCGAAACAGGAAACATCTGTAGCTTTATGGTATAGCTGAGTATTACACTAGGACTGTCATGTACTTTGCCTAGTCGGGCTCACAATCTTTGTGTCGAAGTATATATTTAATTGTCGAGAACCGAGATATATGACGCTCCAAACCCCACTGTAATAAATTGCGCAATACACTACTGGGTGCGCGATGCACAACGACTGAGTGCGCGACACAGCCCAGAACTTGTGTCCACATTCCAAGAAGCATCAACTTGTTTGTGACATCAAGGACTCGTGTGAGATATGGTGCATAATGGGTGGAAGATTAAGGTAGTGTATCATAGCAGGAAGAGTTTGGTCAGGGTAACAAGTCCAGGCAGCAAGGTATAGGTAATGGAAGCTCCATCATGATAAGTATTGTTATGAACTCGGATAGAGTGTTGTTCCAATAAAGGAATCAAGGATCAAGGTCAATCAAGGACTAAGCCTTATCGAGTCAACGCCTCCCTCAGGAGTGATCTCTTAGACTCCCGCAGGATCTAAGGTTCAAATGGGACAATGGCTAGCCTCCTTCCCAAGGAGCTAGAGTTCAAGTATCGAAGAGAACCGAGTAGATTCAAGTTAGAGAAAATACAGGTGGTAACTAGGGTTTATATACATAAGGGAATTGTGCACAGACCAAGCTGGGCAAAGGGTAACGACTACTAAGAAAGGAAGGTTCATGGGAAAACAAGGTATGAGTCAGAGATAAAGGAGACCATGAGGAAACAATGCAGTGAAAAGGAAGTGTTAGAAGTACAGCCATACAGGAGTCCACAGTGATGATGGGAAAAAGAGTGGGGCACTGTAACATTACCCCCTTGTCAATGTCTAAAGTCACCGACTTTAGTCACTGAGATTCTGATAGTTGTTAGGGTTGAAGTCAGTGTCTTTCGCAAACTGCTTCTCATGCTCCTCTTGTTTGAGATCTTTTCTATCTTCATAGATCTTAAGCTGATGATGGAAGGCCCATGAGCCCGGTTTGGCATTAATGATACGACATCCTCGAAGAGTGGGACAGTAGGTGGTAAGATGTTTGGGAGCATGGTGGTGGCATTCTCAGCAGAAATAGTGAGGGCAGTGGATTTGACGATGTCCTTCCTGCTGGCAGTATTGGCAAATGATGTCATAATAGTCAACACCGTTTCTGTCACATCGAAAAGTTTCTTCAGATGGGGCATGAGAATTGGAGGAGGAGGTGGGTTTGTCTTCATCAATAATGATGGGTGGAGCAGGGGTTGGTGTCATGGGACGAGAGAGGCCTATTCCAAAGGCAACAGTGTTTCTTTTCTTACCATGAGCATGGCGTGGGTTTCCTGCAGAGCAAACTGCGAGCTGAGAAGGAGCAGGGACAGGGGTGTCATCATCAGAAGATTCTGACGAGGATCTGGGGACTTCTTGGGTAGTGAAACGAAGGGGTTCAGTGGAAATGGAGCGTTCCAGTTTGACCATATCTGGGGTGAGAGCTTGCTCAAACCCTTTTTCTATAAGTCTGTCTGCGGCAAGTGCTTTGATCTTGGTCATATGATAGATGATAGAACGTTTGGTGGTTTCTTTGGTGGGGGCTGTGATGGTATGGGCATAGCTAGATGCTAGGTCTGCACTGCGATGGATGGTCATCAAAGAAAGGGAATCAATGTCTTCAGAAAAGAAATGGTCTAAAGGTAAAACACAAGGAAGAGAAGAAAGGGTTGATTCAACAAGAGCTCGCTTGTGGTGAAGTTCAAGCTGAGAGTGATGGAGTTCAAGAGAAGAGTTCGAAGATCATGAAGAAGGCATATTCTGGGATCAGGTTTCTAGGTAAAGAGTCGAGAGAGTTGAAGGCGATCTTTATAGGTTTTGAGGATTTCCTGGGTGTTGTCTAGTTCCTTTTCAGGGAGCCAGGAGTTGTCTGAAGAAGGGTAACCCTTCCATGATACAAGGAAGCGTCGTTTTCCTTTTACATTTCCCTTATGGGCGAGAACGGCTTCTATTTTGTATTCTTCCTGTCCATTGACGATGTCAGGAGGGGGTTTGGTGTGGTTCGGGCCGTGGACTTCTGTTTCCCGATAAGAGGATAACTCAGAAGTGTGAAAGACAGGATGTGATTTCCAGGAGGCAGGGAGTCGGATCTTGAATGTGATAGGGGAGAGAACAGCTTCTACTGTGAAAGGGCCGTAGTGTTTAGGGGCAAGCTTCTTTGAGGGTAGTCCGGTGATAAGGTTCTTTGCTGATAACCAAACTTTCTCACCGATCTTCCAGGGTTCAAACTTCTTTCCAAAGGTCTGATCAGACATGCATTGCATGGTGAGATTGTGACAAGAGATGGCTTCTTCTCGGATCTTTTGAAGGTATCTGACTCGATCTTCTGCTGCAGGGATGGCGGAGTTTGGGAGAATATAGGGGATTCCTCGGGGTTCATAACCCATCATGAGGTGGAAAGGGGAGAAATTGTGGGCATCATGTTTTCGATGATTGTGGACAAATTCAGCCATAGGTAAATGCTTTACCCAATCAAGAGGGGTGGAGCGGCAATAGATGTGAAGGTAGGTTTCGAGTTCCTGATTCAGACGTTCAGTCTGTCCATCAGTTTGCGGGTGGTAGGTGGTGGAAAGTGCGACTTCATAGTTGAGGAGTCTTCCAAGTTCTTTGGCGAATTTAGAGGCAAACTGGGGTCCTCTGTTGGAGATGATTTTGTCATAGAGTCCAAATCTGAGGAAGACTTTCTTGAAAAAGAGTTGGGCGACTCCTTCTGATGTGATGGTTTTCTTGCATGGTGAGAGAATTACCCCCTTCATAAGGCCATGGTCTGCCACGACCATAACTGAATCAAAACCGCCTGATTCAGGCAAGTCAGTGATTAGATCGATGGAGATCTGTGAGAAGGGATGGAGTGCAGAGGAAGGTATAGGGTTCAGGGGTGGAGTGGAAGGATGAGTGTCGGATTTCATTTGCTGACATAGGGTGCAACCCTCAACATATTTGCAGATAAATGTACCCATTCCAGGCCACCAATAGTCTCGTTTGACTAATTCTTCAGTCTTAAAACGTCCTGGGTGTCTGGCGGTGGGGTGATCATGGTGAAGGTGGAGAATACAGTGTCAGAGATGAATGGGGACGTAAGCATGGTTTTTATAAAACAAAGTGCCATCATCAAACCGCCAATCAGAGAGAGCAGATTTCATAGGGGGTGCATTCAACCTGTCAAGGGCTTGTTGCACAGCGAGGATGACAGGATTGGAGAGAGGATCTGTGGATTTCAGGGCATTGGCGAGGTCATTGTCAATAAGATGGGAAAACATAGTTTTGGGGAGAAGTGTGACATCAGAGTTATCCGAGGGATCAGAAGAGTGGTCAGGGCAGCGTGAGAGAGCATCGGGAGCAGCAAGTTTGCTTCCTGGGACATGGTGGAGTTCAAGGTCAAATTCATTCAGGGTTAATTGCCAACATGCTTGTCAGCGAGTGAGGTTCTGTGCAGAGCGGAAATAGAGGAGATTCTTGTGATCAGTGAAAATGACGACAGGATGGGGGTTTCCTTCGAGGTAGTGTCGCCATGCTTTCAAAGCACGGATGATAGCGAGGAGTTCACGATCATAGATCTGATAGTTTCATTCAGCAGGGTTAAAGGATTGAGAGAGATAGCCACATGGGTGGTATGCGCCGTTCTCATCAGTCTGAAGGAGAACTGCTCCAGTGGCAACCAATGAAGCATCAGTTGTGAGGGCGAATTGTCAAGAGGGGTCAGGGTTACGAAGGACAGGTTCTGATAAGAAACATTGCTTTAGTTTCTCAAAGGAATCGGTGCATGATTGTGACCAAGTGAAGACAGCATCTTTCTTCATTAAATCTATCAAAGGTCGTGCGAGGTCAGAGTAGTGGGAAATGAAATGGTGATAGAAGTTGCAGAATCCTAGGAATGAACAGACTTCTTTTACTGAAGTTGGAGTTGACCATTGACTGATACCAGATAATTCTGCTGGATCCATCGTGACTTGTCCAGGGTGGATTATCATGCCAAGGTAATCGACTTCTTGAGCATCAAAGGTGCATTTCTCTGGTTTCAGAAAAAGGGTTTCTCTTCGGATGATGTCAAGGATATGGCATGTTCGTTTCTGATGTTCTTCTAGGGTTTTTGAGAAAATGAGGATGTCGTCCATATAAACGATCATCCAGCCTTCAGCAATTTCTTTCTGGAAGGTCTGGTTCATATAGGCTTGGAACATTGCAGGGGAGTTGCATAAGCCAAAGAACATGACTTTTGGTTCGAAGAGTCCAAAGGAGGTGGTGAATGCTGCTTTCCAGCAATCATCAGGGTGGATCAAGATATTATTATATCCAGATCGGACGTCCATCTTGGTGAGGTATTTGGCATCCCTAAGCTTGGCAATGAGAGGAGGGATCAAAGGAAGGGGATAGGCATTCTTTATTGTCCATTCATTGATGTAACAATAGTCTTGACAAGGTCGTAAAGATCCATCTTTCTTTCCTACAAAGAAGAATCTGCTGGCTTGCGGAGATTTTGAAGATTGGATAAAGTCTTTAGCGATGTGTTCATCAAGAAAAGCTTTCACAGCATCGGTTTCTTTTGGAGATAAGGGATAAGTTTTCGCAGATTTCGGAATATATCCGGGTTTGGTTTCAATTCTGTGGTCAACACCTGGTTGGGATGGAGGAAGTTTGTTTAAGCTGTCTTTGGCGAAAACATTGGCAAAGTCATGAAGATAGTCGGGGACGAGTTCTTCAAAGGTCTTTTTTTTCTTTTCTTGGGCATCTTTAAGAGCGAATTCTTGAGCTTTATTGCTAGTTTTCAAGTATTCTTCATCTTCTTCGGTCTTCCGTGCATAGGTCCAGGAGTTTCTTAGAGGAGATAGAGCTGCAGCTCGTTGGATCTCAGAGGCAGAAGTGCCATCATGAGTGAGAGGTGTGTCAAAGGAGAGGTTTTCGAAAAGGGTAATAGAAGAGCTGTCTTTGGCATATTCGATTAATACTTCATCGTCATTGATGGGATAAGTGACAGGGTCGTCAACTTTTCGAAGGAATGTCGGTTCAGTAGGGATATCATCCCAGACATCATCTTTGGTGTCATATTGGGGTAAAGGGTCTTCATCAGGATCTGGCCAGAGAGGCGGAAGTGGTTCTTCTTTCTTCTTTTCTTTTTGTTGTTCAAGAGTTCTTTTCCCATTTATAGGAAGTGGAGTACAGGCAGGTTTGAATTGTTCTGGGTCTTCTTCTTCTTCAATTGTGACTTTTCTGCGGGGTGCAGGAGAGAAGCCCCATTTCTTCTTGAATACTTCTTCAAGTCGGAGTGATCTGGGAGTAGAAGGAAGTCAGAGGGTATCTTTAGCCCAGTTGATATCAGGGTTCATGGTGGAAAGCCAAGGTTTCCCGAGGAGGATCATATCGTTGTCACTCATGTTCATGATGTTGAATTTTCTGATCATGAGTCGATCATCAATTTTGATTGCAAGATGACAATAATGGGTGATGGGGTCCTTAGAGATCTTTCCATCAGCGGTTTGGATAGGAAAGGGGGTTTCAAAACGATGTGTCTTGATTCTGTGTTTTCTTACAAACATCCAATGGATGAATGTGGCAGCTGTGCCACAGTTGACAACAGCGGTGGTTTGCAATGATTTATTGGGGTGTACGGAGGAAAAGATGGTCACCGGGACCCTTAATTCTTTAGTTTTTCCTACATTGTGTGCGATATGTACATCGATACAAGGAGTGGCTAACATTGCGGTAGGCTCCTGGTTCAAAAATCCATTCTTCGGGCATTGAGATCTTCATCATCATCGAGATCTTCAATCTTGCTGGTATCTTCTTCTTTAGGTGCTGTACGCCTTACCATTTGCTGTTACAATTGTGGTTACCCCCTATCTCTTTTTCTCATACTTGTGTATTACGTCATGACCGCACCTTATGGTGCCATCATTAGACTGACCATCCCCCTTATCTGTATTACATCACGATCGCCACATGCCATTGCTAGATGACTCGGTCTCTTATCTTTGACTCCTTATCTCTGACTCGACTGATGACACGTACGCACCTGCCCTAAAGGACTTACGCCTATATAAACCTGGTTATGTACTTAGATAGACTTCACTTTAATCTACTAGGTCTTACCTGAACTATCCTTCGCTTAGGACCCCCAATCCTAAGTCGTCTGATAACCGACATTCAAGCCAGAGACACTCTCTCTGACTTGTCTTAAGAACCTTACATTTGTAAGGATATGATCCGGCTTCAGGTATACTCTTATCGAGTACCTGTCGTCGTGCCCATCCTAGTTTGCCGTAACATTTGCTTTCCTTTATAGTTATTCTTTCTGGCATCTCCATTCCGGGGGTGGAATTCTTGATCGTTAGATCTGTGACCAACCTTTCCACAGGAAAAGCATTTTCCTTGCTTCATATACTCTCTTTTATCATTCTCAGAGAGGCGATCAATGTCCATGGCATTAGGGTTGTTGTTTCTAGGAGTGAAGCATGGGGTGGATTGGCGATTGTTGAATCAGGTGTTCTTGTTGTTGTTCTGGGGTCTATGGGAAAGGAGAAGCTGATAGGAGTTCTCAATGGATATCACTTTTTTGACTATTCCGTCAAGGGTGTCAGGGATCTCTCCAGAATTGCAAAGTTTTGTGATGAGTGGCTGTTTAAGGCCTCGGAGGAAGTAATCTTTCTGAGCATTGAAGCTGTAGATCTCAGCTTGGTTACAGAGCTGTCGGAAAGTGGCTATGTACTCGCTTAAGTCATTGCCTTGTTTAAGGGCATGGAGCTTATGGAGCGCAGTACCAGCTGAGTCGATTGGGTTAAAGGTTTCTTCAAATTGGGAGATGAATTTGTCCCAAGTTCCATATCCGTTCTTTTCTCCATGAGTGGATGTGGGGTCAGGTTGCTGGGCATGTTCAAAGAAATCTTCCATCCATGCTGCAGCTGTGCCTTCCTTCATAAATGAAAGGGCAAAGGTGATCTTTCTGGTGTTGGTATCATAGATTTCATCATTTGTGTCAAGATAGAGTGTGACAAGGCGAAGGAACCTAAAGGTTCCATCTCAGTTTCCATCAAAGTCAGGTGGAGTGCAAATCTTCCTTTTGATTGGTTTGGGCATGTCATTGTCAGTGTCTGAGTCTGTGTCTGTGTCTGGTTCAGGGGTTGGGAATCTAGGTGGTGCTACTGGTTCAACAGGCAGAGCATCAGGAATTTCTTCGTCTCTGTCTTCTACAGGTGCTGGTGCACTTGTTTCAAAATGAGAAACAACAGTGTGGTGTGTAATGGAAGAGGGGCCTGGGACAGCAAGGGTAGGGAGAACAGGAGTGCGGGGAGTGTCAAAGGATCCTCACAACAAAGAGGTTCATCTAGGAGAGTTGGGTGGATAGGGACTGTATGGGATCCCAGTTCGTTCAGAGAAAGCCTTCTTGCTTTTCTTGGAGGGTGCCACTTTGGCAATCAATCAGTTTTGTGGGTTCAGAAAGTAAAGCCCTACAGATGGAGGGGTTCAAAGGAAACTTGAATCTTTTGTTATGAACTTGGATAGAGCGTTGTTCCAATAAAGGAATCAAGGATCAAGGTCAATCAAGGACTAAGCCTTATCGAGTCAACGCCTCCCTCAGGAGTGATCTCTTAGACTCCCGCAGGATCTAAGGTTCAAATGGGACAATGGCTAGTCTCCTTCCCAAGGAGCTAGAGTTCAAGTATCGAAGAGAACCGAGTAGATTCAAGTTAGAGAAAATACAGGTGGTAACTAGGGTTTATATACGTAAGGGAACTGTGCACAGACCAAGCTGGGCAAAGGGTAACAACTACTAAGAAAGGAAGGTTCATGGGAAAACAAGGTATGAGTCAGAGATAAAGGAGACCATGAGGAAACAATGCAGTGAAAAGGAAGTGTTAGAAGTACAGCCATATAGGAGTCCGCAGTGATGATGGGAAAAAGAGTGGGGCACTGTAACAAGTATTGTACTAGAAAAGATACTAAGCAATAGTAAGTAGTAGGGCACAAGAAATTAGACAACAATAGCCACATCACCAATAAAATAATCATCAGACCAAGGATTAATACAAGGAGGGGCAGACAGACTATCAGGGTCAAGGTTACCATGCAAGAAGATATTGGATGGCCATGGCTCTATGAAGTTGGACTTGGAAATGAAACAACTCATATCTCCAATGTAGAATGTCATGCTGTTGGGTCCATTGTGTGGAACACAATGTTCAAAGTCAAGGAACATCTGGATGTACACTGTTGGACTGTTGCCTGTGAAGCCCCACCCATGGTACATGCAGGAACTTGCATGAACCAAAAGAGATGTGAGGAGGACTGGAAGCAGCTGTGGTGGAATGGAATGGGTTGGTTTTTACTGGATGGACAAAACCCACAACCTTACAAGGACACTGTGGAACAGTTCGAGAAACTTGACATTGGAGAGATAAACTTGGACTGCTGGAAAGCTGTGTTATTCATTGTGAAAGGCCAAAGTGCTTTTGAACATGAGCAAAAACTCATCACTCACATAGCTAATGATCTGGCAAGATTGCTGATTGTTGAGCCCAACTTCGAAGATTTCAGCCATGCAGTTCAATACTAGCAGTAGCTATACAACACATTGTAGTATTGTGCACTCAATGGTGTGTTGTGCACTCGATTGTTGTGTATTGTGCACCCAGTAGTGTATTGCACAATTTATTAAAGTGGAGTTTGGAGTGTCATAGAGATGAGGATTTCATCAGGTAGACAGGTAGAACTCAATCAGAGATTGGAGAAAGAGATAAGAGCACATAATAACTAGCAGTAAACTTAATGCACCACTGAAAACCTCATATCATGATATGTCCTTATTTAAGTTACAATGCTGAATCATCATGCCTGCTGTCAAGATAGTATTAGATAGTCTGACATAGGTGATTCATTGATGACACTGACAATAAAATCTTGTCTTCTTATCAAAGTATTACCATCTAAGATATACCCTTGTAACACAAACTGCAAATTCCACCATCATTATCAAGTGCTACCACTTCTATCTTCAAGGACATTTAAATTGCAAACCCACATCATTTTGCTCACTATTGAGATTGTATTGGATAGTCTGACAACATCAGTAAACTACAATGCTCTGTACAGAGCTGCACAGTATTCCAGCTCCCTAGCTTGGTCCCCACTAGACAGACAGCCCCATTTCTGTATATCTCTGTACCACATATTGCAGTGACCTATCTCCATATTATATGAGTGAATGGACATGCATAATATCCCATATGATATGGGCCAGTGGACCATGGGCCAAAGGTAAAAATATCCCCAACTATGACAGATGAGCTGGGAGGGATATTATTCCCAATAGAGGTGGGTGGGCCCATGTGGGGAATATGTACAGTAGATGAGTGGGCTGATGGACATGAATATTCTATAGATGGATGGGCTGAGGTAGTTGGATATTATGTAGATGGGTGTACCAATGTAGATGTGTATCACATACATAGGTGGGCCCAGATGTATATTATATTAGATGGGTGGGCTGAGGGTGATATATAATATAGACAGGTGGGCCTAGGTAAATGATAATTGTAGACATGACAGAGCTTAGGTAGTTGTATATCATCCAAATCAAAGGAGGTAAAAATTCAAAGTTGGAGCATGGGAGAGTTCCAGAGGAGTACAGGAAATACTCAGAGGAGTTCCCACTGCACAGGAAGTGGAGAGACCCCAAGGTAATATCTCTACAGGAAACAGGATGGAAGGATAGGAGGACAGGAGGACAGGAGGACAGGATGTCTGGAGGTCCAGAAGTATGGAGGACAGGAGGACTGAACCTCTGGAGGACAAGATGTCTGGAGGTACAAGGGACAGGATGTCCAGAGGTCTGGAAGGAATAGGGGCTACATTGGACGAAGTTCAATGTAAAAACAAACAGAGGTAGACTACCCTAAGGCAGAGTTGGAGAGACAGGAATTGGACCTAAGTCCAGAAAGAGGATAAGTGCCAGAAAGGCAAGGCTCTGGCCTAGGGAATCAATCCCTAGGCCTGATGGATAGGACAGAACTTAGGTGGACCAAAGTCTGGGAGAAGACTGGGCAAGTCTAAGTTGATATTCAGACTGAGGACTCTACAAGAGTTGTACAGAGGTTATATACTAGAGGATATCCAAGAGGATCAGTAAGCAATGGAGTAAGGCTATGTATGAGCATGTGGAAACATATTAGTAAGTGAGATGGAACATAAGTAAATGAACTTGGAGATGAAACTAGTACAAAGATCAATCAGCAAGATGGAAATAGAGGTAACTGAGAACTGGAAAGGGGGAGATGCCTAAATGGGGTTATGTGCAGGATCTTGGATAGAGGGTGGGAATAGGTCTGGAGATCCAGAAGGCAAGGCGGAAACAGGACTGAGATATGTGAGGTGGTGGATGTAGTCTGGAATCTGAGAGGAGGCAAAGTCTGGATGTCTTGCTGGACAGAATGTGCATATGGTGGACAGGATAGGGGTGTACAGATCAGGCTAGTAGTGAAGATCCAGAGGTCCAGAGCTCAGGGGTAAATCCATAGTGGAGCTAATCCTGCTGAGGTGTGGAGCACACAGTGGAAGGGGATCTGGGCATGAGTCAGATGTGGGGTCCAGAAATAGGCCTGGAAGGCGTGGGAATATTATGAGATCTAGGTCCAGCATACAGGATATGACAGTATGCAACATGTGAATTTTTCACTACACAAATCACCAAGTATTGAGTGCCAAGACTCAAAACCTGAAACTTGAGAACCAAAAACCAAAAACCAAATCTTGAAAAAATGTATATAACATGAATTTTTTTTATTTCATTACACAATTCACTGAGTGTTGAGTGCTGAAACCTGAAGCCTGAAACTCAAGACTTGAAACCCAAAACTCAAAAACCAAAAACCACAAACCAAAACTTGAGACTCAAAAACCAAATCTCAAAAAAATGTATATAACATGAAATTTTTTATTTCATTACACAATTCACCAAGTGTCAAGTGCTGAAGCCCGAAACCTGAAACCTGGTACTACTAACTTCTCAGTGTTGGGACTCAGGACTCGGTAGTCAATATAGGCAAATGATGATGAAAAAATGAAAGTTGTTATTATGCTTAATTTTCTTAACAAAGGTTGTAATGCAAGTTAAGGTGAGTGTCTTGGTAGTCTTTCCTTGTCAATTGGTTATCATTTGACCAAGATATAAGCTAAAGAAATCCAAAACATCGGTGATAATGAAAAAAATGAAAAACATTATTATGCTTAACTTCCTTAATGAAGGTTGTAGTCTGAGTCTAGGTTAGTGTGTTGGTGGTCTTTTCTTGTCCATCAGTTACAATTTGACCACTCTAGATGGGCCAGATTGGTGGGTTGCACATACAGTGGCTCAAAAAACTGTCTGCATGTTTTGACATTTTTCACTATCTATGATATTGTGTGAGAACAAACAAATGCCTCAAGGACATGCTTATACCACATTGTAGTATGGCTTCAGGGCTTTCATTTGAGCCCTACACTGTGGGAATAGGTGGAGATATGGTGGAGACATAAGGCTTACAAAATCATGACTCATGCAGACAGTTTTTTGAGCACATATTAAAACTATATAAATCATCATTTATGACACCATAACAATCATGCCACCATTAAATAAATTATAAAGTGGTGTCATTATGTCATTTTAAAACCATATCTAACTATACAAACCAAAAATTTCCATATGTCATGGTTATATTCACCATGAAAGCCACCTCCCCTGCTCAAAGGGATAATATCCTCTCTCTTTCCTATTCTGGCCTCTCTGCTTGTCAAATTTCCTCTAGAACTGGAGTATCCAAGTCCACTGTGGCCAAGTTCATCAAAGAAAGTCACACAGACAAGGAAAACTTCTGTGAAGGGTGTCCATCCAAGCTCACCTCTACTGATAGGAGGGCTATTATTCAACATAACACTACAGGAAAGGCTGATAATGCTGTCCAGGTCACCTATTACATCAATTCCACCATCACATTCCCTGTCTCTTCACACACTGTGAGAAACATTCTCAAGACAGCTCATCTCAGGTCAGTAACAAGGAAGAAAAGGCTTTCCTCTCTATCACACATATGCAGAGATGACTAACCTTTGCCTTAGCCCATCAGAATTGGATTACATGGACTGGAAGCATGTTATATGATCATATAAGACCACAATAAATAGGATTGGGTCAGATGGCAAGGTATATATGTGAAAAAAGAAGGGTGCTAGTCATCTCTGCATATGTGTGATAGAGAGGAAAGCCTTTTCTTCCTTGTTACTGACCTGAGATGAGCTGTCTTGAGAATGTTTCTCACAGTGTGTGAAGAGACAGGGAATGTGATGGTGGAATTGATGTAATAGGTGACCTGGACAGCATTATCAGCCTTTCCTGTAGTGTTATGTTGAATAATAGCCCTCCTATCAGTAGAGGTGAGCTTGGATGGACACCCTTCACAGAAGTTTTCCTTGTCTGTGTGACTTTCTTTGATGAACTTGGCCACAGTGGACTTGGATACTCCAGTTCTAGAGGAAATTTGACAAGCAGAGAGGCCAGAATAGGAAAGAGAGAGGATATTATCCCTTTGAGCAGGGGAGGTGGCTTTCATGGTGAATATAACCATGACATATGGAAATTTTTGGTTTGTATAGTTAGATATGGTTTTAAAATGACATAATGACACCACTTTATAATTTATTTAATGGTGGCATGATTGTTATGGTGTCATAAATGATGATTTATATAGTTTTAATATGTGCTCAAAAAACTGTCTGCATGAGTCATGATTTTGTAAGCCTTATGTCTCCACCATATCTCCACCTATTCCCACAGTGTAGGGCTCAAATGAAAGCCCTGAAGCCATACTACAATGTGGTATAAGCATGTCCTTGAGGCATTTGTTTGTTCTCACACAATATCATAGATAGTGAAAAATGTCAAAACATGCAGACAGTTTTTTGAGCCACTGTAAGTAAGTCCATCAGACATCTTTGCATAAACAACATCTATGTAAGTTGACACCCTACATGGCTAAACCAAAGGAGTTTGTGACTGTGCATGAGGGCAGTTTAGAGTTTAAGGAAGGCATGAATGCTATGGCAGAAGAGTGCTTTCTATACTCTTATCAAGGAATATTCTATAATATGCCTTCACAGCACAATCTAGAACCTCCTTTTTATTGTATTACTTAGGGCTGCTACATCAGAGTTTTCTATTGTACATCTGGTGAGTTTTCACATTTTTATTCACTCTCTTCTATATGTAACACTTACCATAGGGATATCATGAAATTTGTACTCCAGACACCAGGCAATCATGTTGCTACATACTTTACTGTTATTACAATACACCCTGCCCTGCTGTACTTTTTCTCTTTCATCATCTATTACTTCCATCTGACTCATGCTTATGTTTACTGTATTACATTGTGTGCCACCTCTGCTGCCATTAGATGCCGACTATGTGTCCTGCTACATGTCTTGTTTCCTTTCTTGTATCTCTGACTTTGTCACTTCATCTGTATTAGGCATATGCTCGTATTATTACTTACTCACACCCACCCTAAACCTTCCTTAGCT